ATTAACCAGACCTAGAGACTGTACATCTCAACGAACATCTATGCAGTCAGATTAGCCATTCTGAAGCTGTAAAGCTTCACACTGGACTTTATACTTCAATACCAAATATATTTTTCTGTACTTATCTACACTAAAAAAATAACATGCCATGATAGAGTTACAACTAGAGAAACAATCTAATAGAATAATAGCATTAGATTAGCCTCTATGCCCTATGGCCTATCTACCCACAATTTTTTTGTCCTAATTACAGGGCCAGGTATAGGTTTGACTCGTGGGCCTTAAACACAATCAGAAGGTTGTTTACTACCTTGACATTTGTACCACAGTTGTACCAGTGGGCTTGTGTTGACAGGGTGGCTTTCGCTGTAGCTTGTTAAGTTCACAGCCTGCTAAGACTAGTGATTTTATTTCTCCTCCAGTAGAGTGCACAGCTCATTCCAGTGCTATGAAATCTAACCAGCAGAGATGAAGCTTCCACATGTATACCAAATTGATTTCTCTATGTTATAAGTCAAATGTGTTGTGTTTATAGCAACAAGGTCTAACCATCATATTTTGAAAGTAACCAAGAATATGAGCAATAGCCTGTAATATTTGGGGTTCTGTGGAGTCTCACTTGTCAACAACCCCCAAAGGGGCAACACATTCTTGTCACTACACTTTTTTGTCCCATTGTAGGGTAATTACACATTAAATATATATACACATATGTGTGTGAATATTTTTAATAAGGTTCTACAGCAGTATGTTTCCATATTCCTTTCTCTGAATGACTTAGCATTAATTATCCTTCCCTACTCTCCCTTACTACCCTCCCCTTACTCCCTTCTCCATTAAACCCATCCTGTACCATTAAGACCCTTTAGTCCTTTGTACCACTTTATTATGTCTCCTCTCTCTTGATATCACCCTTACTAATATTCTGATCTCTAGGGCATTCCAAAGAGAAATGCATATCTGAAGATTCAAGGCTAACATCCACATTATATGGAAGTAAACATGTAGTTTATCTTTCTGGGACTGGGTGGCTCACTGAAATTCTGATGCAAATGTGGTGAAAATGGAACTCTTATACACTGATGGTAGAAATGCAGATTTGCGCTCCCATTATGGAAATCAGTGTGGCTCTTCATCAAGAGGTAGAAATAAATCCACCATATGGCACAGTTATCCGCCCTTCAGCACATATCACCTAAATACATTCTATGATAGAGATAGCTGCTCATTCATGTTAATTGTTGCTTTATTCATAATATCCAGAAAATGGGAATAGCCGTTTAGTAATCCCCTGTGCTATGACACCTTTTGATTAGCTTGTCACTTGATTTTGTATTTATGACTGCTTATTTTTTAAGACGGTCTCGTGTCTCAGTTTGTGCATCAACTGGATATGCAGAAGAAGAAAACCCTGAACTTCTGATCCTCCTATCCTGCCTTCCCGAGTGCTGGAATTACAGCTGTATACCACCACACCCAGCTTGTCCATTGCTGGTGGGAGTATAAACTTGTACAGTCACTATAGAAATCAACATGGTAATTCCTCAGAAAGCTGGGAATTGGTTTACCTCAAGATCCCCCATACCATTCCTGGGTATATACCCAAAGGAAGCTCCATCCTACCCCCTTGCTCAGCCATGTTCACTATTGCACTATTCATAATAGCCAGAAACTGGAAACAACCTAGATGTCCCCAACAGAAGAATGGATAAAGAAAATTTTGATATATTTACACAATGGAGTATTACTCAGCCGTTAAGAAATAATAATGTGAAATTTGTAGGCAAATGGAAGGATGATGCAGGAGGTCCTCCCACTCCTCCAGCCTATCACCGCTGAGATACCAGCCCATTGGGGCGTGGTCTCATCCCTTTAAAAAAGCGGCCACTTCCCTCTCCTCTCTCTCTTCACTTCCTGCTCCGCTTTCCTGGTTGCGTAGAGGGCTGTTGCCTGGGACAGTGATCTGTAAGTTTTTTCCCCTTTAAATAAATACCACCCTAATAATCATAACCCCAAATTGGTGTGGCATTGTTTGTGACTTACGCGGAAAGGAGTCTAGTCACCGGCGGAGCAGGAAGTGAAGAGAGAGAGGAGAGGGAAGTGGCCGCTTTTTTAAAGGGATGAGACCATGCCCCAATGGGCTGGTATCTCAGCGGTGATAGGCTGGAGGAGTGGGAGGACCTCCTGCAACAGAAGGAACTAGAAAAAAATCATCCTGAGTGACGTAACCCAGACCCAGAAAGACAATATGGTATGTATTTGCTTATATATGGATGTTAGCCGTTAAGTTAATGATAACCAAGCAACAGTCCATAGACACAGAGAGGTTAGATATAAAGAAAGGATCTGGAAAGTACACATGGATCTTTCTGGGAAGGGGAACCAAAAATTTTATGTGTTTATTGGGAGTGGGTGAAGATGGGAACAGAAAGATCAAGTCGGTAAGGGAGATGGGGTTGAGGGAGGGAATTCTGGGAAAGACAACTAAAATTGAGAAGCATTTGAGGGATGATATGGACACATAGTGCAGCAGAAACTTTCTAAAATATATGAAGGTGATCCTAACAAGGCCTCCTAAAACTGGGGATATGGAGTCTCAACTAACCATCTCTTGTTACCAAATGAAGCTTCCAGTAGCAGACCTGGGTTGCACTCAATTGGGTTGTTGGCCAAGTGAGTCTCATGGAAATCCCCAAACCACCCAAGTTGTTCTAAGACAATGGTTGCACTCCACAAACTGACAGTGGGTTGTGTGGAGATGCGGTGGGGGGGGGGGGATAATGCAGAGGACAACACCCACACAACTCAATGAACACGGAGAGGTTGAGCTGGTACCTACATGTAGCTTTTGCCTCTACATTCTAATTTCTTTGGTGTTGGAAGGTACTCTGCAGGCTACCAAAAGAGAAATGCAAACATCAACCCAGCCACAAAACCTTTGAGCTATAATCTGTCCTGTCTGCTATATATGGTAGTGTAATGGTAGCCCAAAGGTGGGGGGAGTGACCAGCCAATGTCTGATTTGACTTAAGACCCTCTTCATGAGATGGAACCCATACCTGGCATTTCTTGGATGACCAAGAACTAGAGACTAGATAGTCCAGAGTCCTAGAGTAAAACCAAATACTTCTGATCAAAAAAAAAAAACAGGACAAGTAAGAATAAATGCTTTCTAATGACATTCTTTCTTGCTCATCATTTAGTACTTTATTCAGCCATCATCAGAGAAGCTTCCCTCCGCAGCAGATGGGAACAAGATAGAGAGACTCACAGCCAGATATTAAGCAGAGAGAAAACAAGACCCTCTAAATCAACTGAGAAAAGCTCATATGAACTCAGAGACTGAAGAAGCAAACACGGGGCCAATATGGGTCAGAACCAGGTCCTTTGCATCTGTATTATAACTTTTAGCTTAGTATTTTTGTGGCACTCCTGAGTGTGAGAATGAGGGATTCTGATTCATTCTTGGGCCTGCTCTTGGGATCTCTTTTCCTTCTTTGGGGTTGTCTTGTCCATCTTTGATATGATGGGTTTTGCTTCATTTTTATTATACTTTATTTTGTCACTTTTAGCTGTTATCTCTTAGACATCTGTCCTTTTCTAATGAAAAACCGAAAGGGAGTAGATCTGGAGGGGAAGAACTGGGAGTAGCAGAGGGAGGGAAACTATAATCACAAAATAGTGTGTGAGAAAAGAGTCTTTTCAATAAAGGGAAAATATTTTTAAAAAGAAAGGAAGAAATATGGTTGCAGAAAAAACATGAATAAATGTTCTGTCCTACCCTCCCCCACCAAACACTATAGTTAATAATATTAGTTTTCTTTGAGTTTTTCTGTGTAGCCATAACTGCCCTAGAACCTGCTCTCTAGACCAGGATGACAATGCCTCCCAAGGACTGGAGTTAAAGGTGTGTGCCACTATGCCCAGATAATAATAATTTTTTTATATATGAGCATTTTTGATAGATTTAATGAGATTAAAAGACATCATTCTCATTCATGGCAATCATTTATTTCAGAATAAGCCTTTTTCTTTTTAAAGTTATTACATATTAATTCTTAGACACGCTTTAAAACATAACAAGTATGCATATTTATGAAGTATCACATGATGTCTTGATACAAGAACACACAGGATACAAATTTAGTTTCTTCAAACATTAATAATTTCTGTATGATAAAAACATTCAGAATTTATTTTCAGGCTTTTGAATGATATTGTATGGTGCCATTATCCCTGCAGCAATCGTGTATGCAGTAACTGTAGCATCTGACTTCTACCCATCCGCAATTTAGTTAAAAGTTTCCCCAGCATTCTCTTCCTCCCTGCTCCTGATAAACACCTTCTGGTTCCCCACTTCTCTGAGGTCAGCCCTTCTATAACCCACATATGAGGGAAATACTTGCCTGTCTGTGCCTGATTTACTTCAGCACAATTGTTCTATCCCACCTCTATCACAAATGATAGAATTTCATCCTATTTTGTGATCAAAAGCATTTCCTGCTGTGCACGCACAACATTTTGGTTAGCCACTCATCAGCCTGTTCCCACTCTCTGTTCTATCACTGAGAGTACATATGGGGTGGGGTAGATATCTTTTTTGTTTGGTTCGTGTCTTCTTCTGTTTTCAGGGCCCAAACAGTGCCTGCTTTAAAGTACATATTGATCTGATATCCATTAAATGAATTAGTGAATAAACCAATTGAAAGTTATGGATTAGAAGAAACATCTTTTTGCTGAAGATGTAAAACTCTCTTGGCAATTGCTTTTCTATTGTTTTGCATTATTTTGTTATTTTTGGGTATTCTTTTGGGTTTTCAAGTGGAAGAGGGGTAATGAATTCTGAAAGCTTTTAGCACACCTGGAAGGATGTGATCTTAAAAGAGGTTCATGTGGGTTGGAATGGCAGGTGACCACAATGAGCAAAAGTGTCCAGAAAACATTAACCTGACCCAGAAGTTTGGGAAGTTTACCACCCATGTTTGCTAGGTTTCACCGTCTTATTTCTTGGGAACTATTACAATTCTTTTTATGGAGTCCCAGAAGGCTTGCTTGACTTGCTTGTTCCGAAGTGTGTAGATGAAAGGGTTCAACATAGGGGCAATGGAAGTAGTGAGAACTGTTACACCCTTGTTGATGGCCACCTCCTCCTTAGCCGAAGGCTTGATGTAGATGAAGATGCAGCTGCCGTAGGTGATGGAAACCACAATCATGTGGGAAGAGCAGGTAGAGAAGGCTTTCCTCTTTTGCTGGGCAGAAGGGAATCTAAGAACTGTCTTGATAATATAAACGGAGAAGAGAACAACACACACCAGTGTTACGATGAGAGTCAACACAGCACAGATGAGGACTGTCTGCTCCATGGACCACGTGCCTGAACACGCGATTTTGAGGAGAGGGAAAGCGTCACAGATGAAATGATCAATGATATTAGAATCACAGAACTCCAGCTTTAGTCCGAAGCTAAGTGGGGGAATTAAAATAAATAAGCCAGCTACCCAAGAACAAAATACAAGACTCCTGCAGACTGTGGGGTTCATGATAGTCACATAGCAGCTGCCTGCAAACTTCCACAGATGCAAAAAAATTTTAGTAACCACCTGTGTCTTATCGAATCACCATGGAATAAAGTTAGAATTTAACAACAATTCTACCCCCAGAAAACCTACAAACTCATGGAAACTGAACAGTCAACTACTGAACCACCCCTGGGTCAGGGAAGAAGTAAAGAAATTAAAGTCTTCCTTGAATTCATCGAAAATAAAGAAACAACATACCCAAACCTATGGAACACTATGAAAGCAGTGCTAAGAGGAAAATTCATAGCACTAAGTGCCCACATTAAAAAACAGAGAAAGCTCACATTAGAGACTTAACAACACACCTGAACACTTTAGAAAAGCAGACTCACCCAGGAGGAGTAGAAGACCAGAAATAATCATACTGAGGGCTGAAATCAACAAAATAGAAACACAGAAAACAATCCAAAGAATCAATGAAGCAAAGAACTGGTTCTTTGAGAAAATCAAGAAGATTGACAAACCCCCATCCAAACTAATCAAAAGGCAAATTAACAAGATCAGAAATGAAAAGGGAGACATAACAACAGACACTGAGGAAATTCAGAGAATCATTGGGTCAGAGAATTTGTGTGCCACAAAATTGGAAAATGTAAAAGAAATGGACATTTTTTTAGATAAAACCATATACCAAAATTAAATCAAGGCCAGGTGAACAGGAGTCCAGAGGGATGACCCCAGCTGGGACCCTGGGCAGTGGAGGAGAGGGTACCTGACCTGAACTGGCCTTGTCCCGTAGTCAGACTGATGACTATCATGAATAACACCATAGAACCTTTTCAAGCGATGGATGGAGATAGAGACAGAGACCCACACTGGAGCACTGGACTGAGCTCCCAAGGTCCAGTTGAAGAGCGGAAGGAGGGAGAATATGAGCAAGAAAGTCAGGACCATGAGGAGTTGGTCCACCCACTGAGACAATGTGCCTGATCTAATGGGAGCTCACCAAATCCAGCTGGACTGAGACTGAACAAGCATGGAATCAAACTGGACTCTCTGAATGTGGATGACAATGGGGGCTGACTGAGAAGCCAATGATAATGGCACTGGGATTTGTCTCTACTACATGTACTGGATTTTTAGGATCCTAGTCCATTTGGATGCACACCTTCCTAACCCTGGATGGAGGTTGGAGGGTCTTAGATTTCCCAAAGGGCAGGGTACCCTGCCCTCTCTTAGGACTGGAGGGGGTTTGTGGGAAGGGTAAGTGGGGAAGCAGGAGGGAAGTGGGAGGGGGAAAGAAAGTGGAAATTTTGAATGGTATTATTTATAAAGTAATAAATAAATAAATATATAAAAAAATAAAATAAGATGTAGTGATTAGCTGATAAGAAGTTATCAGCTAATAGGACAAGCAGTGGTTTAAAAAAAAATATTTCTGTGTAATTCTTTTGGGTCTTAGCTAGACAAGGAACCAGGAACCAAGAAGCAAACTCCTCTAACAGGACAGCACTAGGAGCTAGCAAATTCATTCCACTTTCCATTCCAAAACTCTTATAATGTTACAGCAATTCCAGTGCAAAGTCCAAATAGGAACTACAGAGGAGGGCCAGGGGTTGAATACTTAGAACGCATGTTATGTAAGAGTCTGCATTCACAAGGTCTGGCTTCAATAGTCTAGAAACAAGTAAGACAGTGAGTGGCTCCCTCTAGTGGGACACAGCATTCTTGCATAATTACATACACCTTGTTATACAATTTTTTTAAATAATAATTATGAAATATTTTAAATAAGGAGGTAAAACAACTCAGAGTTCTCTTGTGATTGAATCACTGCTTGAGGAATGATGTAAACAAGCATTGTCTTTAAATTCAGACTTTTATTTTTGAGAAAATGTCAGACACTGCCATATCTCTTGCCCTGCACAAAAAAAAAAAAATCAGTCTAAAGGGGATTCAGATACTTTCCTGTACAAACTTAAACTTTGAAACTGCTAGGGAAACATAGGTAAACACTTCAATATATAAGCATGGGCATGTACTCTAAAGAGAGCTCTGATAGCACAGGAAATGAGCCCAGAATTTCACTGATGGCAATGGATTAATGTAATTCCACACAACAAAGGAAATAATCACCATCTATTAATTGCTAACTATTTATCACACAAAAGATTAATATCCAATATATATAAACAACTAAAAAATTCATATATCAGAAAAAAACTATCTAGTCAATAAATGGACCAGTGAAGTAGACAGTTCTCAAAAGAAATTACAAATGGCCAAAGGCTACTTGGAAAATGTTCAACATCCTTAGCCGTCAAGGAAATACAAATTTAAATTGTTTTGAAATTCCACATCACCCTAGTCAGAATGGTTATCAACAAGAAAACAAATGATGACAGATTCTGTCAAAGTCGTCAGGAAGGAAGGATCCTTATGTCACAGGTGAGAATGTAAGCTCATGCAGACACTGTGGGAATCAACATGGGGACCAGCAAACAGCAAGGCAAAGAAGGTAAAGTTTAGCTCAGCTTACAGTTCAAGACACCACAGTGTGTCACATCAGGGAAGGCATGCTAAGATACACAAAGATTAACAAAGTAACAAACATTAACAAAGCTGATCATTTTAAACTAGAATAACAAGTAAAAGACTCAAACAAGATCATAAGTGACAGGTAAATATGATATTATAAGTAAACTACAGAAATGTGAACTATTGGAAGACCTTCTTGTAAACATTATACATCAGCTACTTGAATGACCTAGAAGAAATGTATTATCCATCAAGACTGATTTGGGACAAAATTGTAAGTCTAGAAAAAAAACTGTGGTGAGTAGGGACATGGAGTCGGCAACAGATTCCTAAGAAATAAATGATAAATGTTTGAGGTTATAAAGTGCCAGTTACCCCAATGTGATCCTTCAGCATGTTCTGAGACGGCATATGGTACCCTAAGGATGTAGGACTGCATGTAAGTTAATGCTGAAACTATAAAATAAGGGCCATTAAGGTAGCTCAGCTTGTACTTCATCACAATGCTCCATTCTGCCATCGAAAATGCTCCCGTTTGTGTATAGCAATGACTCACTGGCCACCACAGTGGTGTATTCTGACATCACAACTCAATAACATAGTGTAACAACACTATGATATGCAATGACATCACAATGTTCAATTCTGATAGCACAGCACTGAGTTTAGATCCCATGACCCACATCAAGTGACTTACAGCTCTCTGTAACTCCAACTCCAAGTGACCCTCGTCAGGCAACTGCACTCCTAGGCACATACCCTAGCACAAACATACTCACACATAATTAAAACTAAAATCAATATCTAAAAATATTCCATTATATATAACAATTATTAATCATGCCATTAGAGGTACATTTTAATATCACAGCTCAACTATAGTATCACCATGTTCACTTTTATCATCACAGTGCTCAACTGAGTCATCACAGTGCTCCATTATGTCATCACAGTGATCCACTGTGTCCTCACAGTGCTCCATTGTGTCATCACAGTGCTCCATTGTGACATCACAGTGCTCCATTGTGTCATCACAGTGCTCCATTGTGACATCACAGTGCTCCATTGTGTCATCACAGTGCTCCATTGTGTCATCACAGTGCTCCATTGTGTCATCACAGTGCTCCATTGTGTCATCACAGTGCTCGATTGTGTCATCACAGTGCTCCATTGTGACATCACAGTGCTCCATTGTGTCATCACAGTGCTCCATTGTGTCATCACAGTGCTCCATTGTAACATCACAGTGCTCCATTGTGTCATCACAGTGCTCCATTGTGTCATCACAGAGCTCCATTGTGTCATCACAGTGCTCCATTGTGTCATCACAGTGCTCCATTGTGTCATCACAGTGCTCGATTGTGTCATCACAGTGCTCCATTGTGTCATCACAGTGCTCGATTGTGTCATCACAGTGCTCCATTGTGACATCACAGTGCTCCATTGTGACATCACAGTGCTCCATTGTGTCATCACAGTGCTCCATTGTGACATCACAGTGCTCGATTGTGTCATCACAGTGCTCCATTGTGTCATCACAGTGCTCCATTGTGTCATCACAGTGCTCCATTGTGACATCACAGTGCTCCATTGTGTCATCACAGTGCTCCATTGTGACATCACAGTGCTCGATTGTGTCATCACAGTGCTCCATTGTGTCATCACAGTGCTTCATTGTGTCATCACAGTGCTTCATTGTGTCATCACAGTGCTCGATTGTGTCATCAGAGTGCTCCATTGTGTCATCACAGTGCTTCATTGTGTCATCACAGTGCTCCATTGTATCATCACAGTGTTCCATTGTGACATCACAGTGCTCGATTGTGTCATCACAGTGCTCCATTGTGACATCACAGTGCTCGATTATGTCATCACAGTGCTCCATTGTGACATCACAGTGCTCGATTGTGTCATCACAGTGCTCCATTGTGTCATCACAGTGCTCCATTGTGACATCACAGTGCTCCATTGTGTCATCACAGTGCTCCATTGTGACATCACAGTGCTCCATTGTGTCATCACAGTGCTCCATTGTGACATCACAGTGCTCGATTGTGTCATCACAGTGCTCCATTGTGTCATCACAGTGCTCCATTGTGTCATCATAGTGCTCCATTGTGTCATCACAGTGCTCCATTGTGACATCACAGTGCTCCATTATGTCATCACAGTGCTCCATTGTGACATCACAGTGCTCGATTGTGTCATCACAGTGCTCCATTGTGTCATCAGAGTGCTCCATTGTGACATCACAGTGCTCTATTGTGTCATCATAGTGCTCCATTGTGTCATCAGAGTGCTCCATTGTGACATCACAGTGCTCCATTGTGTCATCACAGTGCTCCATTGTGTCATCACAGTGCTCCATTGTGTCATCACAATGCTCCATTGTGTCATCACAGTGCTCCATTGTGTCATCACAGTGCTCCATTGTGTCATCACAATGCTCCATTGTGACATCACAGTGCTCCATTGTGTCATCACAGTGCTCCATTGTGTCATCACAGTGC